TATATATATATATATATATATATATATATATATATATATAATTTTATTATTATTTTTTTTTAGAGAGAGAGAGCATGACCATGTGCCAAGGTGGGTGGGTGGAGAAGCAGAGGGAGAGGGAGTGAGAATCCTAAGCAGGCTCCACGCCCAGTGTGGAACCCTTTGTGGTGCTCAATCTCACCACCCTGCCATCATGACCTGAGCTGAAATCAAGAGTCGGATGCTTAACCGACTGAGCTATGCAGGCACCCCAATCATTGTTTTTTAATTATTTTGGGGCCTACCTTTAGGATTTTTAAAGATTTTATTTATTTATTTGACAGACAGATCACAAGTAGGCAGAGAGGCAGGCAGAGAGAGAGCTGGGGAAACAGGCTCCCTGCTGAGCAGAGAGCCCGATGTGGGGCTTGATCCCAGGACCCTGGGATCATGATCTGAGCAGAAGGCAGAGGCTTTAATCCACTGAGCCACCCAGGGGCCCCTACCTTTAGGATTTTTAATGCTATATTGAGACCATTTGCCAATCCACTAAAAGTTATTTGTGGCACTTTTTTTTAAATGACTGCATGATACAGTCTTCCATGCCATTTTAAAGCTTTTTAAATTTTCTATGATTATTGATGTGAAGGTTTTCATGGTACATAAATAGAGCACCCTCCAGTGGGCAGTCATTTCAGTTTTAAAACAAGAAAAAAGAAAATTGTTTTTATTTGTAATTAGGGTTATTGCAGGGGTAGGGTTTTTTTCTGGAGTTGGGATACTCTTGAGGGTGACCTGGTCTCCACATGGATTTGGGTTGAGTCAGATTCTTCTTAATAAACCCAATCTTGGATGAGGAGTCCCAGAGTCTCTCCAGAAGGGGTCTTGGGAGTTTTCTTCAGAAACTACATTTGCCCTTCACTTCCTATTCTTCTCCCAGCCTCTTCCTCTCCTGTCTCAAGTCCCTCAAAGAACAGGGAAATTTGATGGTATATGCCAACCTCCAGCATGTGGGTTTCTCAGGCAGGCGCCTTGTTTGCTTAATTACTTAGGGTATAGTTGAGGTGGGACGGTGATCCGTTGAGGCCACAGGCTGGTTTCGAGTTAGGGAGAAGTTTATAAGAGGTGCTGCACCTCCTCCGACATGCTGAGGATAGGAGTTTTAGTGTGAGCTTTCATACTCTCTCTTCCCATCAACTCCCACACGTGGATGTTGAAACTGAAGTTGAGCCATGAAAACTTGTCCCAACACAATTAGGTGGTGCTCTCCTGAGCATTGGCTGATTTGTCTGTTGGCCTCTGGAGCCTAGAACAATGGAGCATGCAGCAGATCCAGTTGGTTTAATGTTAGGGATTCTAAAGCCCAAGACCCAAGAGCTATCTTCCATTCTCAAAAATCAGCAGACCTCTTCAACTGCCCAACAGCAATCTGCAGAGGAAGGGATTCGCTCTCCTTCCATCGTTTCTCAAGGGACATGAGAGTTCATTGGATAATATCCAGGGAAGAACTCTGTAATGCTTATAGTGCAAACTTCACTTTCAATGTTATTGTAAAATTGTATTTTCAGGGGCACCTGGGTGGCTCAGTCAGTTAGGCATCTGCCTTCAGTCCCAGTCATGATTCCAGGGGCCGGAGATTGAGCCCCATGTTGGGCTCCCTGCTCAGTGGGGAGTCTGCTTTGCCCTCTCCCTCTCCCCACACCCCCACTCTCTCTCTTTCATTCACTGTCTCTCTCAGATAAATAACTAAAAAATTATATTTTCAAATGTTAATTCTGTACAGAGATTTGCACACTTTCATATTTTTTAAATCTGAGAAATGCTTTGATTTCACTTGGCATTTCAGCCCTCAGGAGTCTGGGCCTTTGGGGAGAGTCACAGTAGGCAGTGTGGGTTGGAGGAAATGCCATGGGTGAAAGGGGCAGGGACAGGGCTCCCCTCCTTTATGGTCCCAGCCTCACCCAGAGTGGCTCTGTAAATGACTGTGGGATGAGCATGTGCAGTAATTGGGCATTGCCTCATGGCCAAGCTGGTGATAGGAATCGAATTCACAGAACTTCTGGGCACTGTGGGGAAAACACTGCTGTCTGGAAAAGCGCAGTGTTGACAGAGTCAAAGGCTGCATGTAGGGCTGGCTTCGTTAAGAAGCGAGGTTCCTCAGGAGCTGACTTCGCCATTTTTCCTCTGTTGTCCCACCCCGCCTGCCCTCCCGCCATCTCTTCAGTCTCCTGTCGCCAGGCTCTGTAACAAGCAGATCGAGGCTCAGAGGCAGAGATGTTAGTAACTGTGGAGCTGGCGTGCGCACAGATGTAGGTCCCAGCGTAGAAGGGGTAATGCATTGAGGAGGGGACATTGGGGTACCCAGGGTGGGGTGTTCAGCACGGAGGTGTATCTTGTCACTGACATTGCTAAGAACTACTGTCAGCGGGGCGCCTGGGTGGCTCAGTGGGTTAAGCCTCTGCCTTCAGCTCAGGTCACGATCTCAGGGTCCTGGGATCGAGCCCCACATCGGGCTCTCTGCACAGCAGGGAGCCTGCTTCCCCCTCTCTCTCTGCCTGCTTCTCTGCCTACTTGTGATCTCTCTCTCTGTTGAATAAATCAATAAAATCTTAAAAAAAAAAAAAAAAAGAACTACTGTCAGCTGTGGTCTGTTTTATTACTGTTAATTTTCTACAGACTGTACAGACTTTATTGCCTGCATCTGGGGCGGGTCTCCCGTCACTTTGCCCTTGACATGCTGTTCAGGTGATGGCAACTTCAGGATCGTGGCTGAGCTCCAGGCATGGAGCCGGGGCTGTTTACACACATGGCAGACAATGAAATCTTTTTAAAGTGGCCAATCTGGGGAACAGAGCCCAGGGAGTCCTGTTGGGTCTGGAGGCTTGGTTTTGTCTCCATACTTCAGGGAAAAGATAATGATGGAGTCTCTTCTTCTCCCTAAAGAAGCATAAATTCCTTGATATAAATAAATGGTAAAAGAGCTTTCCCCTCTCTTTCATTCTCTCTCAAAGTCATCTTCTTTCTGGACAATTTAAAAGATCCGTTAAGCATCTTCAGGAGTTCTGCTTTTCTCACTGAGTTACCCCAGCCAGGGAGGAGAGAGACCCGAGTAACATGCTACTAATGAAAGTCTTGTTGGACGGGGCAAAGAATTTTAAGTATTATGCAGGCCAAAGGGTGACAAGTAGGTGGATACTTAGAGATGTAACTTAAAGGTGATCAGATTTAGCACTCTAAGGACCCTTATGTGATATTCTCCAACATTACAGCTTTCTGCCTGACTTCTTTACTGTCTTTCCATACAGGTGTTTCCATGAGTAGGAGCGCTATGGTCCTGAGATGTAAGCAGGGACGTTAGAAGTGCCATGTGTTGAATAGGTTGTTTTGTATTTGCCTTAGGTGGAAGAGCCATACTGTCAAGGCATGTTGGCAGGCAGACATGTTGCACAAGGCAATGCTCCTGGTGTAGGGTGACTCATGGGAAAATCCTCAGCAGACAGCATTAGCAAGTTGTAAACTAGCAAGGTCCTTGGGGACAGGAACTTAGTAGCAAATCTGTAGGCCCTGGTCCTTGAAATTTCATTGTGTTGTCCCCTGTTTCTCTTGCCCTCCACTCTCATAGGTTTCTCCACCTTCCCAGGACCAATGTCTTCACCTGTGCTCTCCACAGGAGCCTCCCCAGCTTCTCCTGACCCATGGACCATCAAATCTGTCCACATCTCACTAAGCATCCTCAGGCTTTTCTCAACTTGGGCCTCTTGAAATGTGCTAGCGTTGTTTGTCCTTCAAAACCTTCTTGCATCAGAATCTTGCTACGACATTTTAGAAATGTTTATTTTCTTTCTCTTTTTTCATTGGCAGACTTCTAGAAATTGAGGTCTGCATTTGGATCTTGCCTCCTGCTCACTCCTTACCCATTGGTTCCAGGACCCTGAGATCACTGCCCAAGCAGAAAGCAGACACTTAACCGATTGAGCCACCCAAGCACCCCAAGACTTAAAATATATAACATAAAATGTGAGGGAAACTTGTTGATTAAAGGATTATTAGTATTTTTTTTCTTGTTTTGCTACAATTTCCTGTACTTGGCAAGGTTTCAGCTATGAAGACATAACTTTATTGTCAGAGGAAATAATATCACGACTTACAACAAATAAGGCTGCAGGGGATAATTCCCTGTGTTTGGGGTCCTTAGGATCCCTCCGAGATGCAGTGAATTGCTGGGAGAATTCATGGGACTCAGCATATTGTCATAGAGATGATTACTGATGTGGGGAACAAAGGCAAAAGGAAATGTATATAAAATTAAATTCCTTCAAACTTGCAGCCTGTCGACAAATATTTGACTCAAGGCAGAGCAAGACACCCCTCCAGGAACTCCCAAGTGTCTTTAAGTTAATGCCTTTCTAGAGGAAACAAAACAAAACAAAACAAAACAAACAAACAAAAAACCACCTAAGCTTGATAGGCCTCCAGGATCCCTGAAGTCCTCTTTGACGTATGAAAATCCTTTTGGAAACTTCCTTTGTCTCTACCTCTCCCAACTTAAAAGTATCTCGTGAATTGCTCCTCACAACCCCAGGGAACCTGGGTCCTGTCCCCCTGCTTTAATAAAACCACCCTTTTTACACCGAAAAACTTATCAAGAATTCTTTCTTGACCAATTGCTCCCGGACCCCACGTCAAATCCCATCACTTGTGATTTATCGTAGCAAAATGAAATAAAGCAAAATCCAGAGGAAACCAGGCACAAACTTGAGGACCCCCTTAACTGCCACAGCAATGAGATTTAACAACACGTGAGAAGTGTTGTCTACCGGGGAAGCTGATCAGAGGCTAAGGGCCCAGGGTTTTCCTGGGTTGGTCCAGGAGGCAGCCTCTGCCCGACCCATACTAAAATTCCAGATCCCCGGAAGGCACGGTGATCAGCATAAGCTACATTGTTTGTACCAACAGGAGGTACCAACTGGGAGGGCATGGAGGGAACCTTCCCCAGATCCAGGCTCGCATAGGCCAGCCGGGGTCCAGCCTTGAGCCGGCCCCTCTGAACCGGTCATCTCAGGCTCTGGGAACTCTGTTCTGCACGTTCCCTTTCTCCTTATACTTCCCAGGGAATAAGTATTAGGATTCTTAGTGCTTTTCATCTGCCTTTCTATTAAACACCGAGGGCCTTTTCTAAGTCCAGCCAGAGAGGCTGCTTGTGTTCTGTCTGAAGCATGAGATCTGAGAGTCAAGGCTATGGGCAAGGTGAGCTCCTGGTTTGGCCACCCACGCCTTTCTCAGGGCTGGAGAGGTGGTTCCTGTGCGTTCCTGTGCGGGCCTGGCGGGGAGGCCACCGGAGAGCCAGGGGAGCAGAGCTGCTACCACGAGTGCCAGCTTCTAGCTCCTGGCTCCTGGCCTTGTGTGTTTTTCCTTTAGCTTTAACTGCTTAAAAATCAATTAGCTCACCATCATTAGAGCACCAGCAGCCACGCAGAACTCACTGTGCCAGGAATGCAAGGCCCTCCGGCCCCTGGGTTCTGAGTGCAGCTTGGTTTCCCTTCTATAAACAGAGACTGTAAAAAAAAAAAAAAAAAAAAAAAAAAAAAAAGAGTGTGTCAACATTTCTCTCCTGTGGGACAGACTGCAGAGTGGTGGCTTCCCTGCCCAACTTCCATCTTCTAGGAGATGTCTGGACATGGCTCACGTGCTTATGTCTAGTCCCCACGTCCCCATTCGGTTCTGGTCCATGATGTCTCTTCCTCCTCAGGGTCTTTGATAGCCTGGAACTGGGGTGATTCACTGAAGTTCCTTGCTCCCAGTCCCTGGCCCCCGTCACCCATTGTTCGCTCCCGGAGCCTAGCCCAGCGCCTGCCTTGACAGATACCTGTGGACGTAGCTAAGGCTGCAGGTCCGTTCAACCAAGAAATTCGCGTTCTTCCCACTCCCTCCCACTGGCTTTCCCCCCAGTTTGTATTCAGTGGAATCTGGGAGCTCTTATGGTATAAAACGAACAAGTTTTATCATAAATGGAGGCTCCTGTCTTTATGTGGTATCTCCAAGAAGACAGAACATTTCTGCCTGTCCTTGCTTCCTGTGTCTAGGCTTTATCCTTGATGAATGTTCAGTGTCATTTCTAGCAGCCAGTGGAACAAATTGTTATTTTAAGCATGTGTTTACTTTACTTTTACTTTTTGTCTCCCTCCGCCCTTTAGTAACTTACATTGATGAAGATGCAAATGAAATACTTGAGTTATCATCGAATAAAACCTTCTTGGTTGTGCTCAAGATTCCAGAGGAGTGCGCTGCTGAGGAGGAATGGCCTCACCTGCTCATGGAGAGGGTAATTATATCATAAGCATTGTTTACAGAGTTCTTAACAGTAGAATGTGGGCTCTTCGAATGATTACGTAAGTAGCTTCAGGCTTGGATTCTTTGTCTGCATTTTGGCAGAAACTGATGCTTAGAAATGGATTTTCTGTGGTGCCAAGCCTCAGAAAGGAGCCCTGCCCTCCAGCAAAATGCGTCCTGGAGGACAGTGCTCGGTCTCCTCACTCTGGTCTTAAGTTTGATTAGACCTGTCATGTCACGGGGGACTGGTGATGTGTCAGAAAGCCACAGTCACAGAGTCTGGGCCATCAGTGGGGCTCAGTGGCGGGAGAGGACGTGGTTAGACAGACAGTTCTAGACAGTGGGATATGTTCTACAGAGGAGAAGCGTACAGAATATTTTGCAAGCTCAAAGGAGGGTCATCTACACTACCTGAGGTGTGGCTAGAAGCTTGGAGGGCATCTTGCAGGAGGTGATACTCAGGATGAGTCTTAAAATATGAGGTAGGAGTGTTCTTGGTAATACTAGGGGATCTGTCCTGCAGTGTCCAGTTGCCTCTTGCCTACTGTGCGGTGGGGCCTTTCGGGGATGAGGTGTGAAGGTTTTCCTACTCTTTGGTAAGGCACTGAAACATTTTCATCTTGTTGACATGGTCAGTTGTTCATGTTAGCCCTTCCTGGTGGTCGTGGAGAAACACTGGAGGCTGAGAGCTTAGTTAGAAGGTACAGCAGTAGTCCCAGTGATAGATGAGGGGGCTTTGACCTAGGGCAGTGGCAGGGTGGATAAGGAAGATTCCAGCGAGGTTTAAGAGGTCTTCTCACTCAAGGGGACTTTATGGCTGATTGCATGTGGGTATGCAGGAGAATATGACTCCAGGCTCCTGGTAGGTGAATGGGTAGATGGTGGCTTCATTCTTAGAGCAGGAAATGCAGGACAATACCCTTGGTGCAAGATGAGGGCATGCAGCCTCTGCATGAGGGCTGGTTGGGTTCACAGCCAGACCCAGAAAAGTATTTGGTAAGGGTCTAAGCAAGACCAGCCTGTCATCTCTTATAGCCTTCTCTGCAGCTGACAGGTAGACTGGTGTGAGTCACCTTCTGGTTTCCGTCTGATTCCTATGAAAGCTTTGCCAGGAGGCAAGTCCATCTTGGTCACGCCGGAGTTAGTTTCTGGACACCCAGGGGCGTGTTATTTGATTGCTGCTTTGGTCACAGGGGTTTGTGTTCTGGGATGATTATTGGGCATTTCTTCCTCCTTCTTTTCCGTGTTTAAATCTTACCTGTGAGCCCCTTTTCCTCTTTTTCTTTCACCTGCTTCCAGAGCAAGTTGCCGAGTGAATAGCCTCTAGCCTTTTCCCTCTTGATTGCTTTTTTCATCCGGGGGTTTTGCATTTGCTGAACAGAAATGAGATGATTCAACATCCACACATGTCACGTGTTCCGGACTGAATTCTTTATGTCAAAGGGGAGTGGAGGTTAATCATTCACTGTAGAGCCATATCTCTTGCGCAGAACCTGACAGGAGCAGATCCTGTAGGTATTTTTAGCTCATTGGTGTGTAGTGGCAAAGGAACAAGGTCTGGCATGATCCCTGAGGCAAGTGCAAGTTCGAGCTGCTTCCTTCTCTGATAAATGGAAATTGCTACACTTCCCCTGTATATCCACAGGTGCCTATGGGATGCATATAAAGAACTCTGTACAACATTTTTTTTTTTTTTAAAGAATGGTCTAGTTTACAGATGATAAAAGTTAAGGCCCAGAGAGGTGACAAAGCTTCTGCCCCCTGGGATCCCAACCAAATATGTTCAGAAACAGAAGTGAGAACTTAGGGATATTGGTTTTACTGTCAGGTCAAGAGCCCCTTTCTTTCATTCACTCAGGCCAACTTCCAGAAGTTTCCGGATATGGAAGGTAAATGGGAGTGGATGGTGGAACACACGTCCTCGCTTTTGCATTATTGTCTTGCCCTTTTTTTTTTTTAATAGTTAAGTGTGAAATCTTTTTTGTTTTGTTTTGTTTTAAATTTTAAAATTTTTTATTAACATATAATGTATTATTAGCCCCAGGGGTACAGGTCTGTGAATTGCCAGGTTTACACACTTCTTAGCACTCACCATAGCACATACCCTTCCCATTGTATTTTGTTTTGTTTTTAAATTTTATTTTATTTTATTTCTTTTCCAGTGTTCCAAAATTCATTGTTTATGCACTACACCCAGTGCTCCATGCAATACGTGCCCTCCTTAATGCCCACCACCAGGCTTACCCCACCTCCACCCCACCTCCCTTCTAAACAGTTTTCCTAGCCCTTCCCTTATTCCACTGCCAGTTTTCTTCTCTTCCCACTGGGGTGCTTGCTCTGCTAAACCAGTCGGTTAGGTTAGCTGCGGATTGTGTTACCCTGGCCTGTGTGCTTGATGGAGGCGTTAACAATCACTCCTTTGCTAACGCTGGGAAGATATGTCCCTGGTCTCAAATTAGCCACTCTGCCCAACTCCGGTAGTCAACTCAACGGGTGCCTAGCTCAGTGTGCATCCAGCCTTGTAGGCACGGCATAGGACTCCAGAGCCAGGGGTGAGAAGACCCCCCCTTTTCATGTCTTTGGACCCATAGTAGTGTGGTTAACTGTTCCCAGGTATGTGGACATGTCTCAATGACAGCAGGGGACCGTGTCACTGAAAAGAATCAGAGTGGACACTGAAAGTGATCTGGTTTGTCATTCCAGCTCTTAATGTAAAATTTTAGCTTAATTTTTTTTTTTTTTCTGAGAGACTAGGACTATGTGCAAAACAATACTAGGCCCTAAAGGTTAAAGAAGAAGGAGGGGAGAGTGGGAATAGAGAAGGTTGGAAGGACATCACCCCTGCCATAACACATTTGTTTATGTCTGCAAATGTATATATGTATATATCTGTGTGCATGTACACACATGTACGTATGTATGTGTGTACGTGTATATGTGTGCATGTGTGTATGTATATGTGTGTATGTGTGTGTATGTAGGGAAGGGCTTGGAAAAATAAATCCCATCTATAACGTCCTCCTCCTCTTCCTCCCCGATGTTCTCAGCAGCCCTGTGAGAGCCACTTTCTTATTCCTGCATTACCTCTGGCAGGATTCTTTTCTCGGGGGCTCAAAAACTATAAGATGACTCAGTAATTTTTTTCCCTAAAGTTCTTACCACTTTCTGCTTCTTTCCTCTTTGATATTCAGGGCACTTTCCTTCTCACTTCATCCTCCAATGTAAAGAAAGTGGGTTTTAGTGTCTATAACCTCTAGGACTGAATTCCTTATGAGCAGAGTGACCTTGAGCAGGTTTCATACACTTTCCTCATGCTGTTTTCTTTATTAGTAAGAAGGGAAGGGATGGTAATGCCTCTTATGTCATGTTCTTATAAAGATCACAGCAAAAATACAAGATTGGAAGCGTACTTACTGTAGGTCCTCTGAGCCCCTCTGCTCCACCTTGAAGGGACTGAAGTCACCAGGTGAATTCAGTGGGAGTGTACTGTGGGAATGTAAGCTCCTTGTGATTCTGTTTGGAATTGGGTGGGAAACAAAATGAGCAGAGGTGCCCTCAGGCACTGCTTTTTGGGGTGTGTCTGCTGCTTGCTACTCATTAGGGTGAGAGGGCACTGAGCCGTCATGGGTGCAGCTGGGCCACTCACCTCAGCACCAGGGTGCCATTGGAGGCCGCTGAACCTTCCAAAACACCTTTAAGGCTGACTGACTTCAGCCGAGGCTGAAGAATCTGATGCATAAAATAAGAACTCTGCGATTACAGGCCAGCCTCCCTCGGTCCCTTCATTGGGGAAAGTGCCACACCCGGGGCTTCCATGGCCATGTCTCCCTACAGTGAAGCTCCACGGAAAGGAGAGAACAAGCCCTTGTCTAGTGAAGGGCCGGGTCCTGAGGGGCCTGTTGTGCCGCCTTCCCAGCTACTTCAGTGTTGTCTCCTTCCCAGGGTCCTTGGAGTCTGTGGGGGCTCCAGGGTCCATGGTGACCATGCTCACCACGAAGGCCGCAGGTGTCCACACGACATGTGAGAGATGTCGAAACTCTCAGCCTGCTCACCTGCTCCTTAGAAATGAGGTTCTTTTAAATGAATGTTGAGTTTTCGTTGGGATAGGTAAGGCCCACACCTTCCTATTTCTCCATTCAGAGCTTCCGAATAAGTGAATTCCGAGCTAGCTTGGAATCTCTATGAGTGGGTTTGCTTTGTCACGTGATATGCAAGATAATCCATCTGTGATGCGTGTGGTTGTTTAACGTGTTGCTGTTTGTTTTAGCTGACCCATGTGTACGCGTCATCCCCATCGCTGAGCCATTATTTTACTTCAGTGGAAATGACGGACTTCAGGTAAGTGTGGAGACTTCCGTGTTGGTCTCTTTCCCTGGGAAGCGACCCCCATCACTGTTGATCTAGGACTTTTGAGTCTCAGAGCACAGAAGGATCTGATGATAAAATCACAGATCATTGGCTTTGGAAGGGTCTTTGGACACCCACTAGCTCCACTCCCTGATTTTACAAAGGAGCAGAGTGAAGCCCAGATTAATCAAATACCGCAACAAGGTCACAGGGAAGAGAGGAAAAGCCAGTCCCGGGTAAACCATTCCTGTTTCACAGCAGATGCTCAGATAAGCTAGGGGTAGGACTAGAAAGAGATCTCAGAGAGTGGCTGCGTGGCTCTGTCAGTTAGGCATCTGACTCTTCATCTCAGCTTAGGTCTCCATTATCTTGATTTCTACATCATGAGTTCAAGCCCCACATTGGACTCTATGCTGGACATGGAGCTTGCTTGGGAAAAACAAAACAAAACAAAAAAAACAGTTCTCAGATCGTGATGTGCTGTAAATGGTATAATTCATACACTAGCTTTTGCTTTTGAGGAACATAATATAGGAGTCCATGCTCCTTGTATAATATTAAAAATGTAAAGACATGCGTACAGGAAAAGTCTACCTTCTCCCTTCTGCCCCAGCCTACTACCCCTGGATACTGGATGTTCCAGTCAATTCCACACACATAATATGTTTCACTCCCTTCTACTGAATGAATGGACTGCCATCAGTGGTTTGGTGTGATTTTTTTATATGCGTATTTACCATACAGACTTTATACAGTAAATATGTGTAGCTTATACATGTGCATATGATTTTTCTTTTTACATCTCTTAATCTTAAATGTTTTTGTCTCTGTCTACAGAACTTAGATCAAAGGTGTATACGTGTTGAGGAGTCATTTGATTATCTTTTTGTACTGTTAGGACAAGGTTTACATGACAAAGCTTTATTATCCGTTATTCCTAAAATATCTTTTAACTGTGTCCATCAAAGATAGTATTGGATTGAAATCCCTTCTCTCAAACTTTACATTTCCCAGACCATGATCTTTATATATCCGAGAGAAGAAGCATGGAAAGCAGACAGTAGCACAGTGGGATGGGACTGAAAGGGCCCTGAAGTCTGAAACTGCCTACAATGGTGGGTTGCCTTGGCAACAACACTCTTCATCCTCTTTATGGACCCCCCACTGTGCATGTTCCCTTATGGTAATGTCTCTGACATTGCTCATTTTAATCACAAATTACTGGTATTAAATTGCCATTTAAAAAAAAAGCCCAACACAGTTTCCTCAGTATACTTGCCCCGATTTGCAATTTCAAGACAGAGCTGAGAAAGGGAAGACGTCCAACCGGAAGGGTCTTTCCAAGAATCCAGCCGCATATTATGGGTCCAGGGGAGGTGGGATTGCATAATGGGTTGGGATTGACATTGGGGGAGAAAACATCCGAAAATTGAGTCAAACATGGCTAGAAAGCTGAGGACTTAATGTTAGAGAATTTGTTTTTAAAAGTTATTTGAAAAAAAAAAAAGCCAAGGGTTTTAGAATTTGGGATAGAGGAAGCTCTGTCCGGGAAGGATTTTGTTTCATGTTAAGAGGTGCAGGCAGAGTTTTAACAATGTTGATTTTGAGAAGCAAAAGCCATTGCTCCCGCAAAATGTGCTGCCGCTAGAGGGCAGGAGACAGCCAGACCCCTGGCAGCTGGGTTTGGGTCCCCGGGGCATATGGACCTCCGTTCTGCCTCAGCCATCCCACTACAGGAACCTGTCAAAATGCCCATTGGTTCACCAGCTGCCGGGCTCACTCTAATGGTGGGCAGCCGAGGCAAAGCCTGCTGGGTTCTCTGTTTTCTTGAAAATCCCTCCTTTCCCCTCAAAATCTAGCCGTAATGTGAACTCCGTCGGTGGGTGACCAGACACAGTGGGATTAGGTTGGGCTAGCGGGACTGGGTTAGGCAGGGCAGCCCAGTCTTTCACCTTCTGGCCTGTCTTCTGGAAGTCAGCCTCCGGTCATTTCCATAAGGCAGCCTGAGCCCTTGGCCACTCACCTGTGGAAGTACAGGGTGGCTGCGCGTCTGGACGGCGACCATGGGCAGCCATAAATGGAAGGTGGAGTACAGGGAACAAATGAGGACACCTGAAAACTTGGATAGACGGCTAACAGTGTGAACCTACATTTCCAGCCTCCTTGTGGATGCATCCGTAATCCGAGAGTCTCTCCAGAGTCTTGGTGGTATATTGTTCATTGGAACGGCAGGGTTTGACAAAGGGTTTGGCTGTCGCAAAGCTCATAAAGGGATTGTCTGCCCCCCATTGACCAGAATATTGGCCTATGTGACCTCCGGCCACAAGAGGGAGCTCGTTCCCTGTCCTTAGCAGGAACAGGGGCCTGATTCTGGCTTCTGGGAATGTGTCCAGTCTTTAAAAAACCACTTCAGGGGGAATGTCAGATGTGGTCACTTCTTAATTATTTTATTGCTGGCTTTTGATCTGGGCCTCCTTGAACCAAAGTAACAGGATAGCTTTGAAACACCTAAATGCTGAGCTAGCATTTAAAGAACAGTATAAGCTGCTAATTAACTGAGGATAGCTCTATGATTATTTTTATTTTGGAAATGAAAAATATGTTCTGGGAAGATGAAAACTCCTTTTCCTTAGGTTCCTTTATTGAGAGTTGCAAAACTGAGAGTCTCGGAAGGTGGAAATGAGACAGAACAAGTTTCTCACTCTAGAGACAAACCAGGGGGATCTGATTTGCTGCTGCTGCACAGGAAGGTCTGTGGGAGTTCAGGAGTTCTTCAAGGAGGGGGTTGCAGGGAGGGCTGCGTCCTGCCTTAAACATTTTATAAGTTAAGGAGTGAACTGGTTAAACCCAACAGCTCTGAAGGGAGGGAGAGGAGCAGGGAATACAGAGGACAATAGGCTTTCCTGCCCTGGGGAAGGGGAGTGGGGGAGAGTAAAAGGCTGACATTGGGGCCAGTGGTGGGCCAGCCTTGGATCTTCCTTGACAATAGCTGGGTCGTGACTCTCCCTTCAGTGGCCTCTTCTGGTGGACTCCTAGAGGCTGCGTTTTAGGTGAAAGGAAGAAGTTAGGGTCACCTCAACTTTCTGTGAGGAAACTACAGAAGAAGCTTTTCCTAGAACAGGGTACGCTTTGTTATTTTGTCCTGAAAGAACACGAGGAACTACAAATATGGTCCCGCATAAGTCCGTTTCCTGAGTTGCAGTGGGATTCTGTTGATCTTTGTGGCTTCTCTGTTTGGCGTGCCTTTCAGCGGTGAAAATGCCACAGTAGCCTTCCACCTGCAATTTGGGGTTCCTTCGGAAGATGACGGTTTTATGAAGTACAGGATGAATAAGGAGTTGGTGCGGGGCGTTTTGCTACAGAATCTGCATGATCAGGGAGTGTCTGGCTGTGAGACTTTGGGACTGGACCCAGCATCCCTCTTGCTCTATGGTAAGTGGAGGAAGTCAGGACAGTGGGTTGTGGTGTCAGCACGTGAGCCAGACTGAGGGCAGCTGGGTGGGGTTTGCTGCCTGCGCTGGTGAGATTTGCGCTCTGTGGAGGTCACATGGCCCCTGCCCTCCATAAGCCGACAGAGTGTTTGGGGGGCAAAAAAACAATTGTAAAGATGAGGATGACTAAATGTTTCCTTGTTGCTGTTCACCCACATTTGAAGCTTGGCAATATCATTTGTAAGCTCCATGGAAATGTCTTGGTTTCACAAGAGAAGTAAGTATTGAATTTGAAACAAATAATGATCCCAACGTGGGGAACCCATCTTTTTTTATGTTGAAGGCCACTGAGTCTATTACATTAGTAGAGGGCAGAACAAGGCAAAGCAGCCTCTTTCTTTAGAAAGGTATAATAAAGTTACCCACCTACTTTTGAAACCAAGAAAGCAATGAGAAAATTGGCACATCGTATAATAAGCCTGGAGGACACCCCACTTGTTAGAATCTGAGAACTTTTAAGACTTCACGCAAAACCTGGTGACAAGCTTCAGACAGGTGCCTCCCTTGCGTCTGCACAAGAACTTTGGCCGGGTGTCTGGCCTCGTGCCTCACCCTGATTCCTCGCTGGGAGAGGCATGTCACCGCCACTGATGCCATCTGTCTCTGATATTCCGTCATCCATGATCCATCAGAAATACTCTCCTTACACTAGTAGTAGTAAATGCTAGTTGAATGAATGAAAAAGACCAATCAGGGGATGGGTTAGCAATAGGCACAATGCCAGCTGGCCTCACATCGGAAGATAGACCTGAGAGATTGGCAAACACCCCTGTTACCACATCATGTGAAGAAGGAGTTTGTTATAGTGACACTTATTTATGATGGGAAGTGGAAGTAGGCTAATCCTTGTCCAAGAAGGCAAAGAGTTATATAAAGCAGTTCTGAAACCTTTCTTTTTCCCAAATAAATAGAAAGGATGATGTTCAGAAGGCCAAATCTTAGTTTGCTGGGAATGAATTTTTTCCTCACAGATCAATTAAATAAATCACGCCTGTGGGTGAGATGGAGGGCATATACCTGTAGAGTGAAGAGGTTATACCTCCCCTTACAGGAATTTTAAGAAGAAAGAAAAGAAAAGAAGGAAGGAAAGAGGGAGGGGCGGAGGGAGGAAGGAAGGAAAGAAGGAAGGAAGGAAGGCCAGAGAGAAAAAGAAAGAAGAAAAGAAAGCAAGCAAGCCTTTCGACCCCCCTCCTGTGTAAAGAGATGAGAGAGGGGAGGTGCTTCTGCCTGAGCTGGGTGTGGTGGCAGCTGCTGTATTGTGATTGGTCTTGATTTTCTGAGCCCCCTCTGTCCTACGGTGGTTACCAGCTTTTTCCAAATGTAGGTGAGGAAGGTAGAGGAGGATGGTGAGAAAAAGTTGAGAAGATTATGGGGTTGGGAAGGGCAGGTGGCCTATGAGCCCGGGGAGAGCTCAAGAAGACTTTGAGAAGACCTTGAGCAGATGGCCCTGGAGACATTTGCCCAGGCCCTGACTCGGCATCGGGCCCCATGAATGTATCCGAGAGCTAAATAGGAGGTTTTACTGTTCCTCTGAGACATTTCTGCTTTGGGGGAGAGAGTGTTTCTATGACCCGATGTCCAATTTCTAGAACATGCTTGTGAAATATTTGAGCCATTTGGTATTTTCAGGTCTATGAGTATCAGTCAAATGGAAGAGGACACTGTCACCATTTGGGAAATGTAGAAGGAAGAAGAGAGACCTAGAAAAGGCAGGCAGGCCAAGGGAGGGGATACACTCAGGCAGGGATAGGCAGGAGAGGTAGAGGCCCCTGGGAGGGGCCCAGTGAGACCCTGTGTGTTCTTAGGCCAGTCTTCCATGTTCATATGCAGTGTGGGCCTGAGGGTTAACCTCCCCCTCCCATAACCACCCCTACCCCGTACCGTGGTCATCTGGGCAATTAGTGGTGAGCCTGGCAGATAGTTTTCTACAGAGATAATATTCCAGTTTTGCAAAGAATAATGATTCTTTTTTTTTTTTAATTTAAATTTTAGTTAGTTAACCAGTCAATCTTTGTTTCAGGAGTAGAATCAGTGACTCATCACTGACATACAATACCCAGTGCTTATCACAAGTGCCCTCCTGAAGACCCATCACCCATCTAGCCCATCCCCCTACCTCCCTCCATCAACCCTCAGTTTGTTCTCTGTCATTAAGAGTCTCTTATGGGGGATGTCTGGGTGGCTCAGTTGGTTAAGCAGCTGCCTTCGGCTCAGGTCATGATCCCAGCGTCCTGGGATCGAGTCCCACATCGGGCTCCTTGCTCAGCAGGGAGCCTGCTTCTCCCTCTGCCTCTGCCTGCCATTCTGTCTGCCTGTGCTTGCTCTCTCTCCCTCTCTCTCTCTCTGACAAATAAATAAATAAATAAAATCTTAAAAAAAAAAAAAGTCTCTTATGGTTTGCTTCCCTCTCTTTTTTCTCCTTCCCATATGTTCATCTTTTTTTTCCTTAAATTCCACATATGAGTGAGATCATATGATATTTGTCCCTCTCTGACTGACTTATTTCACTTGGCCTAATACCCTCTAGCTCCATCCATGTCATTACAAATGGCAAGTTTGCATTCTTTTTCATGGCTGCATAATATTCCATTGTATATAGCACATCATTTTTGTCCATTCATCCATCGATAGACATTTAGACTCTCTCCATAGTTTGGCTGTTGTTGATAATGGAAGAGCAATGACTTAAGAAATTAAAAAAATTTCCATATACTGAGAACTTTTAGGATTGACTCTTAGCAACTTTCAGCTGTACCAAACAGCAATGGTAACACCAGCCATTATGTTGTACACTACATCCACAGAACTTATTTATGTTATAACTGCCTTTTGACCACCTTCACCCAGCTCCCCCACCCCCTGCCCCACAACCAGTCCAATCTCTTTTTCTATGAGTTTGTTTTTTCTCGTGAGATGATGCAACACTTGTCTTCCTCTGTCTGACTAATTTCATGCAGCACGAAGCCCTCAATGTTCAGGGAATTGTTGGACTAGATGTCATCTCCCTCTTCCCCTGTTTTTTTGGGCTACTTCACCTTATGGATGTTTGGAGGCCCAGGAATGAGGAGGGGAGCTCTGTTTTACAAATTTAAAATGGCAGCATGAGTTATTTTAAACATATTGACCTGAGTTTGTTATTTTGTGCTGTGTTCTCATATGGGAAGGAGTCAGCTAGTAGACTAAATGAGAAACTAAGGCAAACACCAGATTTGTGTGAGAGAAAAGAGGAGAAGAACTTGTAGGTGGAGAGAACAGTGAATCTTGCTTGCACATTTTTGTGGTGAACTGATGAGCTGCCTGCTGGTAGAGGAACCCATGTGTGAGTTCTGTCCTTGAAAGGACTACTTGGTATCAAGGAAAATCATTTGGGTTGTTTATAGATTCTCCTTGGAACATTTAGCCAAGGACCACTACTTTCCAAGTGGGGCAGTTTTGCACCCCCACTGCACCCCTGGGGTATTTGGCAACATCTGGAGACATTTGTAGTCCTCAAGACTGGGTGTGTACGTGAAATGCTAGCATCTCGTGGGTGAAGAGCAAGGAGGCTTCTGCACATCGTACGAAGCACGGGACAGCTCTCTATTACGCAGAATTATCCAGCCCATAATGTCAACCACGAGGACCCTGTGGTAGAGCGTGGGCTGTCTGTGTGGTGTCCCTAGATCCTTGCACAGATGTCTCCTCCTCAGTCAGGCCAGGTCCACACCATTTCCCTCAGCAGACTTTCTCGGAAGCTGCTGTATATGTTTTAACAAACTGAAAATTTAGAGGTTAGTAGTGAGATTATGAAGAAGGACTGAATATTTAATATCCTCGGCACCCAATAGACCCCATCAAAATGTTATTGATCATGAATTATGCCAAAACATATGAGCATTGTGTTATTTGCTTTCTGAAAAATGTTCAGAGGTGTGTATGTATGTGTATATATTGACTGAAAAGGAAATTAACTCTGTTAGGAATTTACAGGCATTTCAATTTTGCAGAACAGTTTATATTGAAACCCAATGAAATAAAATGAAAGCATAAATCTTTAAAATAATCATGATTTTAAAAAATTAGTGACTTCCGTTTGTCTGTCTTCTCTTTTCAGAATGAAGGGAGGATGTTGGTGTGTGTCTGAAGGCAGTGCTCCACTGAGTTTGGGGAAGAGAGAATTCACATTGTTTTCCAGAGAAGATCCTGCAAATTACCACAGAAGGCCTGGCAATGCCTGGAGGGGAGGAGACCGTCCTTTTTCCCCCTGACTCTGCATTTCTGAAGTCTGGGCTCTGTGTCCAGCTCTGTGAGCTCCCCTCGCGGGGTCTAGTCTTGGCAAAGGCAGGAAGCCGGTTTGGTTGGGGGTGACGGGGAAGGTGGGTGGGCCTTGCAGTGCAGGGTCACTGCCAGTTGCCTCCACCCACAGGTGCACACTTTCTCTTTAGGGCGAAGGTGACCTTTCAGGCAGGATCCCCCCGACCCGTGCTGGTGGAAAGAGTGGGCAGGCAGGAGGTGAGGGACAACTGAGCCAATCTCTCACTGAAGTCCTCCTCCCACTCCCATTGTGGTATTTGATCTACCTCTGAGCAAGACTGTGAGGAAGGCACTTTACCCAACAAAGCAGCAAAATTCTGTGTCTAATTCCATAACCTGGAGCTGCCTGTCTTAGCAAGCCAGCCTCAGGCACATCATCCAATATTGGATACTGGGTCACGTGTGGCTACAGAAATATGGTGTGTGTTTCTTACTTCTCATCGCCTCATTGCTCTGGTGACTCTTGAACACTGCCTTTGGAAACCTGGGTCCCTGTGTGTTTTGAGTTTTGGACACACTGCTGTCCTTGGGGATGGTTTGACCTTTAAGAGTTTCTAGACTTCATCAGAGGATTGTTAAGGCTGCTAACCATGTGCACGCTGGCACCTGGCTTTTTCTTGTCTCATGTGACTCGCCTTCTTCTAAAACTCAGTGTCTTCAGGCATTGAATGTGTATCCTATTGAAGAGGGTTTGAAACAGGAAGAGCCGCTCTCTGTTTGAAATAACCTGTTGGAGGCTTGATGGCAATTTGTTAACAGGAGGGGGTACAATGTTAGCAACTGTATTGATCATCTGCAGACATAGCATGGCCTAGCATGAAGAAACTGAGGACTTGTTTCACTGGGAAAATTGTTTTGCTGGGAATTTTCCAGGGGAGAGTGTGGTGGTCCTGTCACAAGAGATTCTTAGTCCCAGGGTCTCAGTTAAATGGGTCGTAGGTGGACGGCAGTATGAAGGGCTGCCGTGGATGGGGACGTGTCCAAACGTGAGTCTCAGGCTAGATTTACCCTGGTCTTTTTATGAACCAGGACTCTGGATAATGTGAATTTGCTTTCTTATTTAAGTAGAGGATATGTTTATTGTAACCTGGTGTCTCATTTTGAGGCTGGTTCCTCAAACTAGCCAAATAGGTGCATTTCCCGTCTTCCTTTTTATTTTTTACGTGTCCAATATAAATCATAGTGTGTGTGTACTTTTTAGAATGTAACGAATAACTTTCATGGGGAGGGATTTAAAACTATTTACAATAAATTATTTTTTGTGCGGGCATGGTCACAGTCACATTGATTTCACGGTGTGGAGTCTCTGCGGCGTGATGGGGCTGGCATTTTCTTGCAGGGAATGGTGCTGGAACTGATTTTTCCTTTCCCAGAGGGCAGTTTCCCCTTCTGAGTAAGACTGAGCTGGAGGGGCTGGAGTGGACTAGGTCCTCCTCTGCTACAGGGAGAGCAGGGAGCGCCCTCCCACCCCTCTCTTCCCTTCCTCCCCTCTGCTTCCTTCCAGGGCACTTTCCTGGCAGGCCCAAGTGTCCGAAGGGCCAGGGCTGGAAGGAAGTGCCAGGACAGTGGGCTTTTCCCTTCTCCTTTGGAAAGCACTAAAACGCAACTATCTTGACCCCTTGCAAGTCATATGGAAGACTTTCCATAGGTTTGACTCTGGCTGGTAGTGTGGGAAGCGCTGAACTTTGTAACTTTGTGCCTAAAGCCTTTTGAGGTGTCTGAAAAAAAAAATGGTGTTCACGTCTACACTGTTCTGCTGTAGGAGATGAGTTTACTGGTTGTCATACGTTTTCATGATGAGCATAACGCCTGGTGCATCATGAGGTCTCAGCAGCTCTCTCTGACGTCACTGAAGGATTTGAGAAGAGACACTGGTCTTTTCTGGAAGTCTGTAAGATGCGGGCAGAAGGGGTACACTCTGAATAGTGGAATGTGCCACTTCTCCCATCCCTAGAGAAAATTCTGTCCATGCATCCAATTCTTTTCTACTTTTCAATTTAACTTAGCTCTGTAGATCATTTTAATGATGTGTTTGCAACGAGTCCAGGAAAAATGGCGAAGGGGAGGATAATAATAAGAAAAGAAGCTGCTGGTCTCATTAGGCAATGAGACTCTGTGAAGACCAGATAGGAAACAGCAGGAAAAAACAGCCTGGCGTGAACCTGGAGACAGACTGTAGGGGTGTGGGTAGTCAGAGAAGAAAGTGGTCAGTGTCCTTTCATTGGAGAAGGCCTTGCCTAGGAAGGACGACACAGCTGAGCCTGAAGCTGTGGTGGGGTTGGAATAAACAGATTTGCTTTCCTTTACACTTGTTTGTGTCTGATTAGGATAAGGTCACGTTCTTTCTTTTAGAACATTTTAATACATTCATTTAAATTCATTTAATACATTTTAATTACATTCATTTATTTATTTTTATTTTTAAGTAGGCTCCATGCCCAGTGTGGAGCCCAATGTGGAGCCCAATGTGGAGCTTGATTTCATGACCCTGAGATCAAGGTCTGAGCTGATATCAAGAGTTGGATGCTTAACTGACTGAGCCCACCCAGGGACCCCTCTTTTCCCTTTTAGTTCTGTGGGCTCTGCATGGATCCCTGCCCCATTCAGAGTCTCATCAGTACTGAGAAATATGAGAGAAGTCTCTGGAAGTCTTCCCTTCCCTGCTCCCACTATGGTTCCTTGCCTTATAAAAGGCTCCTTCACATTGTCCCTGTGTCACTGGCAGTGGTGTCCACAAGCAGTCCCCTCATCTCATACTTAGGAAACTGAGGTCTGGAGAAGTGAAACGATGAGTCTAGAGTTCCACAGTCTTGGAGAGCAATGTCCAGCCCACTAGGCAAACTCATACCGTCAATGGCCTTTGGCAGGCATCCTCGGGTCATGTTCAGATCAGGCTTGACTCCATCCACAAAGAGCACAGGTGGTGAGAGGGGAAGGGATGAGTTAAGAGATGTCATCATCAGACTGTAGAAGGCTCCCTGGGATGATAATGATCACCCAGGGCTCCCCCCGAGTGCCTTACAAAAGCACCCTCTGTAGGAAAGTGGGAAGAACTTACACTGGGCCATTTAACAGATGGCAGAACTGAGGTACGCTCAGATCCGGGGACTTTCCAGTTGCTTTCTGAACACAAGAGGCTGACTGGAAATAGGACAGAGTCAGATACATGTAAACAGAATCTCCTTTTGTCTGAAGGCTCCTGTGATATCTTGGGGACTCCTCTGCCCTGTTCTGCCTATGCCCTTCCATTCCATTCCTGAGAATATTCAAAGCACCTGTCACCCAAGGTTGTCCTAAAAATGTCAGCATTTGAAATTATTTGTTATCAATGGTAGATATCAATTTGTTATCAATGTTCTGACCTAGCTTTGCCCTTTTCTTGTACCTCTCTTCTGTTCTGAATAGGAATTTATGCATAGGCTAAAGGATTATTTATAGATGCTACTATGAAGGTAAAACGGAAACCACAAAGCCTGCCGTTGCCGCATGAAGTGGGCCTCTGAACTGGCTGTGTACAGGTGTAAGGAGCGCATGGGGGAGGGGAGTTTCCTGATTGTATCTATGACCCAAGGGAGCAGTTTAAATCCTCAGCCTCCATTTCTTATCAAGAACCCAGGAATTATGGGGCGCCTGGGTGGCTCAGTGGGTTAAAGCCTCTGCTTTCAGCTCAGATCATGATCTCAAGGTCCTGGGATGGAGCCCCCACATCTGGATCTCTGCTCAGCAAGGAGCCTGCTCCTTCCGGCCCCCTGTCTGCCTCTCTGCCTACTTGTGATCTCTGTTAAATAAACAAACAAACAAACAAACAAATAAATAAAGTCTTTAAAGACAAAAAAAAAAAAAAAGAACCCAGGAATTCTTCCAGGGATGGGTGGCATCCCCGACCACTAGAAATTGTGTAAAATACTGTGTGTATGAGTATGTGTGAATGTGCATTTTTTGTGAAGAGGGTTACAGGGCTTTCACCAAAATCCTGAAGTGTTTGGAAAACAGGATTAGCATTATATGCAGACAGAGCACACCCGAAGGGCTCTCTTGCTCGAAAATCATTCCCTTCCCTCAGCTCTCTGGCTTTCATTATAAGAACAAATTTCCCTAGCTAAGCATTTATATTTAATACATTGCAGGAAAGAGGCATATACTATTTGGGACAAGTAATATTTTCACAGGAGAAGACTCAAACTAGTATAACTTATATTGTACTAAAAGTATTTAAACCAGTCAACTCCAGCAATGGTTCAATGTCCAAATGAAAAACTCCAGTCTAAAACCCAGTGGTGCCATTTCTAACTCACTGGAAGATCGCTGGATGACTCTGGCCATCATGCCCGTCAACACATTTTCCTCCACAGGTTGCAAAGGTGTTTGTTCCTCTTTGCTCCTTGATATCATTTATTCAAGGTCTGCGGTAAAGGAATTACATACACTAGATGCCACCCTCCCATTTGCCGGTGATAAAGCCTAACCTTCAATTTATATGCTCAAGGTCACAGAGGGAGGAAGGGATAGAGCCAGGATTGGAATCACTCACTGGCTGAGTCTAGTGTCCACACTCTTTCCCCTAAGTGAATCCTGGCCAAGGGTGAAGGTTAGGGTTCCACAGGGTTCCATGGCTGAAAATGGGAAGTTGGCAGAAGACAAGATACCCAGATGTGACTGGCTCTTAGCTGAAGACCATCGACTGCCTGAAGTCTCAGCAAACGCGTGTGGACTCATCCAACCTCTTGTCACCACATTTCTCCTTGCTGGCATTTAGTGCATTTTAAATAACAGTTATTTAACTTTAGGTGCCTTTGGGGACAAATCAGTAATTAACCACATAATGTTATCTACTATTTCGTCAACAAACCTCTACTATTTTAACATCCTTAAAATTAAGACAATCGCCACGGGTTAAATAAAACAGGAAGTGGAGAACACAGGTGTAAATATAGGATAGAAATAGTCTAATTTGCTAATTATTCTTGGTCTCATTCATATCATTTGTGGTTTAATATTTTCATGCCAGTTTATTGGTACCAGCTCTTAAGAGTTGCAATACTCAAACACATTTCTGTTACCGTTATCTCCAAGTATCATCGTTTAGGCCTGGGGGCCTAATTTTTTTTTTTTTTTCTGAAGAAGGCAAAAAATATATATATATTTTTGGCTTTGCAGGACCTCCAGTGCGTGTCACAACTACTTAACTCTTCTGTGGCTGAGCAGCCATCGTCAGTATGAACATGTATGCAGTGTAAGTGAATAAGACTGGCTGTGTTCCAGTAACATTTTATTTATACAAAGAAAGACAGTAGGTCAGATTTAGCCTGTGGGTCACAGTTTGCTGACCCCTGTTTTAGGGGATAGATGGAATTCTAGAAACAATGAAGAAAAAATTAGGAAAAATAATCAGAACATATGGAGAAAGGCTCATTTGAGAAGGGGTATGGTGTGGAGGTGTGGGGGTGTTACTTTCCCCATGTGGACATTTTTTCCCCCAAATTTTATACATAACATGTTAGTTCAACCAGACATACACCATACAGTTGAATAGAGCCTCTTCTATGTAGTATGTTGGAAGAGTGCTGAATTGGAAGCCAGGAAATCAGGCTCCGAATAACGTTCTGTCACTAATTTGCAATGTACATTGTGCTGCTTCTCTCTGAGCAAAAAGGATAGTGGGATTAGAGTGTCTCCACAGGTCTTTCTACTCTACCATTCTCTAATGCTATGATTTTCTTGTTAAGATTTCTAGAGAAAAATACAAAGTTAAAAAATATAGATTAAAATTATATTAAAAATTAAAAAAAACCTGATGTAGAACTTACTGATTCCACTCACATAACCAACAAAGCCACGAGGGTCAACGAGTCAAAGAACATGATGCAAAGGACATGGCAAAGTGGCACAGGGTGAGAGGAACACACAGGTGCCCACCTGGAAGGCTCAGAGTGAGGGGTTGGGCCTTCAAACATGGTGGAACCAGTGGATCCCCCTCTTGGCACACTTAGTATAATAGATAAAGCTTCCTTGTGATTCTAGGAGACAATCATGTGGACATTTTATGGAGAAGGGTCTGCCTTTGTGATGCTCATAGTTGTAGAGCACCAAGAACCCCCCAATCCCCCCACCGCCCCTCCCCCCATCCACCACTGAGCAAAACAGCCCATTTCCAAAGCCATTTGGAATCAAAGATGGCCACTCTGTTCTCAAAGAGTGGTGTTCAGGATAGATGGTTGGTCTTTGGATGATGAATATTGAGCTGCATCTAAGAGGTCCTGTGGTTGGCAAATCAGATTCTGCAGAGACCCCTGTAGCAAAGGCCGTTGTGTGTGTGGAGTGGGGGTAAGCCTAAAAGACTCTAGACCCTACATCTGCCTCAACCAGAGCCCTGCACCCCCGGTTTTTATTTACTGCTATTAGACAAGTGCTGGTCCAACTATTTCATTATAAATAGGAAACCTGAGCCTTTGAAGGTAGCAGAGGTAGATGTGGCTGTTGCAGGGCATGGAAGGAGATTCTACTAGGCAAGTTCATATTCATCTTCTGGGGAAGACAAATTGCTTGGAGAGGAATGCACCCGGAGAAGTGCATACGAAGTCTCAGTTTCTCTCAAGTAATTCCTGGGTTTCTCGGTCTTAGGGGAAACATTCTCATAGCACCTCTCGGCAGAGATCCCTGATGGCCTTCTCCCAAGGACGCTGTGACTAATGAGGGTGTAGCAGAGATCCTCCGAGGAGCTCTGGTCAGCACTGTCCTGCTGGTCAAAGAAGAACCTGATCAAGTGTGGGCCTCGTGCCATTCCCTTTATATGCTCCAGGCTCAACACAGACCCAACCCTAGCCAAAGTTTGTCTTCCATGACCATCTCTCCTCCACCCCCTGGCTGTTTTTCCTAAATGACTGCCCCTACCCCAACCTCTAGCCCAGACATCCAGAGAGCTCATGCTGTCCAGAGTATTCAGCCTACCCAGACATGTCCTCTCTGGTCCATGTTCCAGAGTGACCCCTGATGATCCCAAGTCATACATATAATTCCCAAGTCTCAGGTCCTGAGGGCAGCCCATTCTTATATAAGAGAATAATCTGAGGCCACCTTAAGATGACTTCTTATGATATTTAACCACTTATTCTAGAGATTTTGGCATTATTCAAAAAGGAAACCCTCAAGAGAAGCTCCCAGGCAATGGAATCTCAGAAGATAAAAAGCAAAGAAGCAAAGTACAAGAGGGAGAGTCTGGATCTGGAACTGGGACTTGGTTTTGAATCATGTCCCTGACTTCTTGTCAGCTGTCTGACTTGGGGGAGAATATCACTTAATCTTTCGGTTTTCTCATTTGTACTACAGGAGAAATAATAGTTCCAGTCTGACAGGGTTGCTATAACAGTGACATTAGCCACTACAGGCAAAGCTCCTAGCACACTTCCTAGCATTAACAAAAGACTCCATATATATTAGCTCCTTTCAGTTAGATGTACAACAGAGGTGGCTGATGCCACTGCCACCAGGCCCCGTACAGGGCCCTGGGCTAACAAGCACTGGCATCTAAAGTCCTTCTTTCATATCGAGGTTTGAAGGAGTCTTGGAGCCCAACTTCTGCCATCTGGGGTATCTGCATTGCCACCGGCATCTCAGAAAAAGGCTCAGAGATGTTTGCATTACCTGCATGGGAGCAGATGACATTCTTTTATCTGGAGAAAGAAAATACAATCAATTTCAGGTCATGGGGAGATTTGAGGAGAGAGGGTGGAGTGGGGGGGGAGGGTTGGACTCTAGGATAGGAGCAGTCGGAGACCCAAACAGCAGCCGAGCAGGTTATCATGACCTGCGACACATCCCTGGGGAGTGACAGGACCATCTAAAGAAACAGCAGAGCTGTGCAGGCTGAGAGTCTGAGTGGAGGGAGACACATTTGGTGGGGCTTTGGAAGAGAAACCACACTTCCCTCCATCCCCTCACCCCTCCCTCCCTCCTGCAAAATTCATTGCACATCTACCCTGTACCAGGCACTGTGGAGGCAAAGAAAAATCAGAAACAGTTCTTCTCCTTGAGGGGCTCACAGGCTAGCATAGGCAGTACACAAGAACCCCCAAGGATCCATAGTGCAAGACAGGACTGTCATGTCTACTGCAGGTGACAGGGGATGGTAGGAGTGGGGGGCCAGTGCTCAGGAAAAGCTCAAGGGAACGAAATTCTTAAATTGAGCAATCCCATTCCTGAATTTGATAGCAGAGACACACAAAAGCAGGCCAGTTTTTCAAAAGCCAGTTTATTTAAAAGCAACTGGCTCTAGTCTCTCAGCAAAGACACAAAGGGACACACTCGCTAACCCTTCGCAAACACACCAACTCAATAAGCCAACGTAAGCTTTCATATGGAAGTCCCAGGATGCCCTCCTACACAGGAGGTGGGTGTGCCCCTGCAGGCCCTCTGGTTTATTATATTATGGATTTACCTTCCCCAAGGATTGACATCCCAGATTCTCACATCTCCATAAATTCCCATGGCCATCTATGACGTCCCTGAGTATCACTATAAGGAACGTCTGTGAGGTTTACCATTAGATGTCTTTCTTCCTTCTTCTTCCTTCCTTCCTTCCTTCCTTCCTTCCTTCCTTCCTTCCTTCCTCTATCTCTTTCTTTTCTTTTCTTTCTTTCTTTCTTTCGTTTCTTTCTTTCTTTCTTTCGTTTCTTTCTTTCTTTTTTTGAGAGATAGTAGTACAAGCTGGAGAGAGAGGCAGAGGGAGAGGGAGAAGCAGACTCCGCACTGGGCAGCCGATGTGGGGCTCCATCCCAGGACTCTGGGATCATGACCTGAGCTGAAGGCAGACACTTAACAGACTGAGCCAGCCAGGCATCCCTAAAGGTTTTGTTTCAACCATGTTTTGCTCTGATGGAGATTGGGGTTTCCTGGGATCCACGATTCCCGATTCCTGGAGGTGACGTTAGGGGTGGGAGGGCCGGATTATTCACTCACACACTTGACAGAGCTAGTTTGCAAGACTCAGAGTGAGTAAGTAAGGCTCTGCTCTTTGGACCCAGGAAGGCAGAGGCAAAACTCCATCCCTTTTCTTCTTTACAAACACAGTGGGCTGTCCTCGCCTATACTTCCTTTCTCTCTTTCTTACATGTGTTGCTATTCAGCACCCTCTCTTTCTTGAAGTCCTTCCTAGCTGCAGTTCTCTTCTGTCTCCAGAGACCACTGCCTCACCTCCTAAGTGATCTTCCAGCATCCATTCTTGCCACGCACGAGTCCAGCGTGTTCTCTACACAGCAACCCACACAGCGTCTTTTCATGCAAAGGGCATCATACCGGCCCCTTGTTTAAAGGTCCTCAATACTTCTGCAGTTCTCAAGACAAAAACCCCAATCTTAAGCTTGCCCACAAGAGCCTGCCCCTCCCCGTTGCTCTCTGAGCCCCTCCACCTTTCCAGTTATTGTTTCCAGTTCACTCCTCTGTCCTCCAGACGTTAGGGAGGGACACGGAGATCAGCAGCCAGTTCCTGCTTTGATGAGCTCACAGTCCCATGGAGAGAGATAAAAGCAACTGGACGAGTGACACAGATTCATGTGTAAGTATGACACTGGAAGGATGCCCAAGGAGCTTGGGAAACCCAGAGAAGGGACAGTGTGGAAATGTAAGTCTGTCCAAAGTAGAAAAGATGAGAAAGCAATGACTTACTCTCCTCTGAGGAATCTGGCTTTGCTTTACAAATGCGTCCTTTTTTCCTGAAAAAAGAAAAGGAAGGAAAATTGGTGGTTTCAATATTCTGAAACTCTCCGAGAAAATGACACTGAACTCTAAAACCTTATCTTTAACTCTTCCATTTGTTAAAGTTATACCTCCTTTAGCATCAAGGAAAACGAAGATGGATAAAAGGAAATACGAAAGATAAGACAGGTAGAAATCTCCACCTGTGTGTGTGTGTGTGTGTGTGTGTGTGTGTGTGTGTGTGTGTCCTCCCTTCTCCCCTTTCTGGGTTGAGGTGGAATTGATTTATAAATGGAGAACCAATGGTGACGTCGTTGGTAACTATTTGGGGGGATTTTTTTCTAACAAAATATCAATTTCTTTTATATCATGTGACATAAGAGCCAAGGTTATTTCCAATTCCAATCCCAAGCCCCATCTCTGATCTCCAAGCAAGCAAGCAAGCAAGCAAGCAAACACAGCCCATGTGAGCACAGGGGTAACTATTCTGTAGAGATGAGTCCCCCAGAGGAACACAGTCTAGATATAAAGGAAGTTCATTATCACCTCAGGAGACAATGACATGTGCGCCAAGCAGCATGACCATAGGTCTGGCTTGGCTTAGGGAGTCTAGTTAATGTCCTTACCAGTCACTTCGGGACCCTGAGCTATTTTTAGCATGCCTTTCACTCTCAACGCTTTCCCACTGTGGTGGATGACTTGAATGATCACCCCGGCTGTGAGTTCTCTGTGCAAGGGACAGAAATGCGTGCTTCCATACATGGAGTCTGGCCCTTGCCCTGTGAGGAAGCGGTCCCTTCTCTCTACTGGAGCCACTTTCATCCTTGCTTCTGAGGCTTTCCGGTTCAAGGACCACCATCAAGACTATTGTTCCCGTTTCTCACCAGGCTCGAATTATCACTTCCCTGACTGACTCTCAGATGAGCGTCTGGGGAGTCACAGGCTTCCCCTGTGGCCACAGACAGTGGGCAGTTACAGGTGATTTACAGTAAATACCACATTGAAACCACACTTGGGGAAATAACTCTTGAAAACAATTCTCACTCACCATGGAAGGCAGAAACACCCTTGGGCAACGCAGCCGTCCCAGCATCTGAAATAACCGAGAGATGACACAAATCACCATGCTGGTTTCTACAGCTTGAGTAGGGTGACTCCCTTCCTTTTGCCGGTTCTGTGAAAAACCTTTTTTCTCCCCACAACCCCAAAGACGGCATTTATTCTAGAGGACTTGGACACATCTATCATGCTACAGTGACTCCTTCCTCCCAGGACATTAACTGACTCTTAGGAAATGTGAAGACGTTGCTTATCAACTCCTAATGGGGGAAGGAACTTTCTGCTCTAGTGTAGGATGGAATTCATTTGTTCACACCCTACACTAGAGCTTCATAAAGTTGGGAACCCTATAGACTTATCTTGTTCATCTCCGGCAAAGATCACCAGCTTGTGCCAGAGTGTCTGGTAAATCTATTTTCAATAAATCCTTGATAAATGAACAAGTAGCCAAGGACAGAGCAACTCTAACTGACTCAGGTCATCATATCTGCCTCTTTGACCCAAGGGGCAGGTAAATTAACAGGACTTGGGATCTCTTTTGTGGCAGGCAGAAAAGGTCTGGATCTTTCTGCGGTCAGGCATCCAAGCTGAGGTCTATCATGCCAGGCATCTTTCTGAGCTTGAGTCATAGTTGAATGTGAAAGCCCTCCATGTCCCTATAACACTATGTAAAAGCATCTGTGAAAATACCACCCAGAAATATCCCTCCCAGCGAGCTTCCCAGGGAGTTCCCTTGCAAAAACCTCTGAAGGAGAGGTCATAGACCCTGGCATGATGGAGTGTTCTGATAGCTACAGGGGCTCCCTGTACCCCCAGAGTTTGAGGAGTGAAAGGCATGGCTCCTCTTCATGCTACTTTCAGCCATTGTTTCTATCTTCTGTTTCTGTGGCTAAAGAAATACAAGGAAACCACTGAACCTCGTTAGTGTTAAGAAACTGGATTCTCTGAGGAGAGTCAGGTGATGAAAACAGACAGCCGATTTTGAGTTACTGATTGGACCAGGATCTCTGAAAAACTTGAGCCACAGTTTCTTTGTCGTAAAATAAGGATGCTTACATGTCTTACCCACATGGAGTTGTAAGGGTCGTGTAAAGTTAAATTCGGGCAAAAACTGTTTTTAAGCTGGTTATTTGTTCCATGCAATTCTTTTGCCCTGTATTCTTGCATTCAACTCGGATGTTTTGGTTTTGGGTGCATTCTGCGGGATACCAGATGCATCTCTGTGACAGCAATTCCAGGTTCTTGTCTCTTAATGCAAAGCTTTCCTGGCCCTGTAGTCCACCCAGTCTCTCCCTTGTTATAAGGCCCATGACCCCTCTGGTCTCTTTCATCTTTTGCATTGTATGCGTTCATACATGTCCAGGGCCCTTGTAGACATGTACCCTGTTGGGGGATCTCTGGGCCCCCAACTCCTGACACAAACTTTGGCTCAGTGGTTGCTTTTTAATTTAATTGATATTCTTTCAAGAGATTCTCCTGAAACCATGGGAAAAAGGAAAATAATTCTATAGGCCACAGAACATCCAGCTTTGCCACTCTTGGGAATTCTTGGACCCTAAGACCCTAGTTCCATAGTCTACTGACTCCCTGGCACTCAAAGGGACTAGTCAGAAAGGATTAATGAAGAAGTCTTGGTTTAACAGCATCAGGGTAATTGCAAGAGTCTCTCTCCACAAACCTTTCAATGATCATGATGATGTGGGAGATGTGGTCACCTCAGAAATAGAAACATAGAGTTTAAAATGGAATGGTCAGGATGGAGCTGGAGCGCAAAGATACTTGAACTAAATGAACAGAGATAGCAGGAACTATCAGTCTTATTTCTGGTTGCTGGGGGTTACACTAGGCTCCTAGCAAAATGGCACCTTTCCTGTCCCAAGGTTCAAAGTGTTTTTGTCTTTTGTCTTGTCTTCACATTTACTGTAATGCTGGGCAAAGCAGCATGCTCCATTGTGGCGTATGTGAACTCTAGGACCTGACAGACTTTACTCTTAATGGGCAAAGGCTGGGAGAAGTTTTGTTGGAATTGTTCTCACCTGGGTGTCCTCTCTCTGAAGCTTTGATTTTTTTTTTAAAAGATTTTATTTATTTGACAGATACAGATCACAAGTAGGTAGGTAGAGAGAGAGAGAGAGAGGAGGAAGAAGGCTCCCTTCTGAGCAGGAGAGCCTGATGTGGGTCTTGATCCCACGATTCTGGGATTATGACCTGAGCCAAAGGCAGAGGCTTTAACCCTCTGAGCCACCCAGGCGCCTCTGAAGCTTTGATTTTTTTGGAGCCCAGGGTATTTCTTGAGTGTTCTGCTGCCACCTAAAATCCAACATAATCAGGAATAAGCTAAGTTCTTCCTTTTCGGGCTTCCTTCCTCAGTTCCCAATTTTTCCAACTTTTGTCATTTCTGCCATTTGTGTGTCACCTCAGCTTCCACCTGTTCCTCTCAGATCTGTTCACATCTTCTCTTTAATAAACATGGCAACCTTTTATCTGATGGTTCCTCCATTGCCATGGCAACAGTCCACCAACATTCTCCGACAACCTCCACACACAACTGGTCCTAAGTCATTTGTTTCCACATGGCTGGGATTGCTCATGATGACCACGAGACTATCAGTGAATGGAGAGGCATAGCCACTTGGTGCAGTCTTTGGGATGGTGCACAGGGATGGGGAAGGGTACTGGCCTGTCTCGTGTAAGTCATCATTTTTCACAGCACTAAGACAGAGAACATGGGATAAGAGGAGAAGAAAGGACTAGATAAAGAAAATAAATCTGTTCCTTGCTCAGGTTGGGTTTCTGATAACCATTTTTCTCACTTGTGGGGATTTGAGAATATAGAGAAAAAGAAACTAAACATTAAATATTACTGGGGCACCTGGGTGACTCAGTCCATTGGGTGTCTGCCTTTGGCTCAGGTCATGATCCCAGGGTCCTGGGATCGAGCCCTGCATCAGGCTCCCTGCTCCGCTGGAAAGCCTGCTTCTCCCTCTCCCTCTCCCACTCCCCCTGCTTGTGTTCCCTCTCTTGCTGTGTCTCTCTCTAATAAATAAAATCTTAAAAAAATAAGGAAAATGTATCTAATGTTGTCAATAGTTATAACTGTGATTTACCATTTTATTTTATTTATACTTTATGTATTTTTCAATGTTTCTACAACTAACATGTATTGATATCCTAATCCTTCACCTGCACACCAAAATTCTAAAAAAGAAAAAACCCCCTACAAATGTCATAAAAATCATGACTTTCTCAGTCACGTTATACCTGTATTTTAATTTTTCAAGACAGTGATTTCTGCACATTTCCAATCATTCATCAAACTCTTTTTTGAGTGCCTACTGTTTGTTAGAAATAATGCCAGGAAACAGGAATTCAAAGATGACTAAGAAACAGTCTCTACGTTTAAGGAAGTCACACATAGATATGAGAATAAGGATTTATAAGCTGATGACATGCCCTAGCTACAGATGGCTCAAGGCCTGTGAGGAACCAGGGAGGAGTTTTAGAAAACACTGGGTTTCAGCGAGGGGCAGGACACATCCCATGGGCTCACCAAGCCTCCTTTTGGCAGGTGGCATTTTTTTTTTTTAAGATTTTATTTATTTGAGAGAGAGAGAGACAGTGAGAGAGAGCACGAGCGAAGAGAAGGTCAGAGAGAAAAGCAGACTCCCCGTGGAGCTGGGAGCTCGTTGAGGGACTCGATCCCAGGACTCCAGGATCATGACCTGAGCTGAAGGCAGTCGTCCAACCAACTGAGCCACCCAGGCGTCCTGGCAGGTGGCATTTTGAGTGCTGTGTCTTTGCTCCCAGTGGCAGGAACTGAGCCTTGGAATGCCGAATGTAATCCTTAAAAATCCTTCCCTCTCCCTGTCCCATTGAGTTCATCCTCTCTAGACCAGCTCACCAGGGATTCTCTTGTTTTGGATGGTACTAATTTTTATAATAACTGCTTTGATGTTAATGAAGATGATGGTCCCCCAAAACGATTGCTTATTATTATTGAACCTTACTGTAAGGCACTGTGCTAGCATCACACACACTAGAAGATAGGCATTGTCTTAGCATTTCCTCTTAAAATTTGGAAACTGAGTTCTAGAAAAAGTCAAATTCTTGACCGATTTTAATGAACTTTGCTTACCCTTTGCAGGGAATGTATACAGGAAGAGGCCTCACTGTGGGCAGAAGCTTGTTATTTATTTTGAACTAAAATAGTAATTAAAAGAGTGGTGATGTCTTTCAGCTCCCTGCAGACATTAGGAACTCAGGAGACCTCCCTGCACCCAGCCCCAGGGCCCCACCAGCCCTCCGAAAGTGTTCCATTTCTGAAATCATAGTTTACTGGATTGACCTCCCTTGAGAAAGTCCTTCTGCCTTTTAGGAGTTCTCCACCAGCTGCTGGCTCACTCTGATTCTGGGGAGAAGGCCAGTTCTATAAGGAGTTGAACTTAGTGTATGACCATCAGTAGGAACTTAATTTTTTTCAGTTCTTTACCCAGTTCCCTCCCCTCACCCAAGGACTTCTTTTTCTTTTTCTGGCTGCAATGCTCTGTCCCATCTCCCCTGCCTTTCTCTGGAGAGTCTGGACTCACCTGTTTTTCCTCGGCGGAGCGTTCCCCATTCTCTCTGTTCTCCTGGGTGACTTCCCCTCCGCCAGCCTGGTGCTCTAATGGGGTCAGCTCTTGACTTACCGCGTGTTGCTCTGGCCACTGGTGCCGAGAGCCGAAAGAAGAAGAGTACCTCCCTGCAGCAGGAGGAGGACCCCAGGGGGAGGAGAGTCAGAGGTGCACGCAAGCACTCACGCGTGCACAACTTCCTAAAATGTCAGAGCCCCTAAAGGGGAGCAATTATTGCCGCCCCCGAGATATGCCTCTTTGGCATATTGATTATTTTAAGTTGATTACTTTAAAGAAACTTCAGATATAAAACAAGGTCTGAAAATCAAGTAGAAATTACCCTACTTGAAGAGACTTTTTCGTTGACAAGGGAAATCTCCACGTGTAAGGGTATCAGGAAGAGGGAGCTCTAAGTCTCCAGAAAAGGTTGTAAGGCAGAAGGCAATTAAATTGGCCTAATAGCATGACCCTTGTTTACTCTGCTTTTTCCTCCCACAACAGACCCTCCAGCCCCAACATCTTCTTTTGTCTTTAACTGAAGATGATATTTAAAGTGATGGCTTCAGCCCTTCGGGGGAGTTGCTCAGTTTCCCTGAGTCTCCCCATTATACTGAGGAGGTATACATGTTATTAAGCTTTTGTTTTTCTCCTGTTAATGTGTTTCATGTCAATTTAATTTTTAGGTCAGCTGGAACAGAGGAAAAAATTTCCTTCCTAACTTCTGAGGGAACCAGGCTATTGGCCTTACTACCCAGAAGCAGCTGGTCAAGGAGAGCGTTGAGCTTCTGGGGAAGCCCCATCTGCAATTACAGGCAGACCATGGGAGTTTTTCACTTAGGATTCCTAAATTTATTAAACCACTTTCTAGTCTTGGAAGAGTTCGGAGGGGGAATTTTCTTTTAAAGAAAAGATTCAAACAAGTTAAGTCAACCCAATGACCAGTAGAAATTATCAACAAAACATATAACTGATAAAAAGATTTAATCCGGAACATATAAAGAACTCTCGAAACTCAGTAAGAAAACAGCCAATAACAGAATGGCCAAAATATTTGAACATACGTTTCACCAGAGAAAATATACAGATGGCAAATACACACATAAAAACATGCTCGATACCATAGTCATTAGGAAACGTAAATCAAACCACAATGCAGCACTTTTACATTTTTGCTAAAAAACAGGTCAATCAATTAAATTTGAAGAGTTAATTGGCTTTATAAGCGATTCATGAATTGGGCAGCCATCCCATCTAGCAAGTAGAGAAAGCTCTGAGCAGTGTAGGAAATGGAAGGTTTTTGTAGGAGGGTGGGGCAGGAACGTTATTAGCAAAAGAAAAGAATTGTTCCAGACAAGGTCACTTTCCCTTAGAGGGACAAGGACAGGGGATCTTATTAAGTGGATTACCTCTTCTTCTTTTTGGAAATGGAGAGGACCCATGAGATCACCGATGTTGACGAGAAAATTCCTGACTCCAGTTAAGACTTACATTTCTAGAGGAGACTGAAACTGCAGTTAGTTGGGTCTTAAGTCCCCACTTGGTGACTTAGCCTAAAAAAGCCATTGTGGGTCTGTGGTTTTCTTATTTACACCTATTAGAACGGCTAACATTGAAAACAACAGAAAAACTGAAGATACCAAGTGCCGGTGAGGAACGCAGGGCTTGCTGCACGCGCTGCTGATGGGAATCCAAAGTGGTTCAGCCCCTTTGAAATACCTCATGGTAGTTTCTCATAAAGGTAACCAAAGCCTCATCATACAACCTAGCAGTCCCACTCTTAGACATTAACCCAAGTGAAATAAAACCAAGATCTCTAGGAACTTGCATGCAACAGCGGCTTTACTCAGAATCATTCCTCAAACCCTGGAAATATCCCACATGATTTTCAAGCGCTGAACAGCTAGACAAACTGTGACGCATCCCTACAAGACTGACGGATAATAAAAAGGAATGGACTACAGATCTATGCAACAACTCAGATGAATCTCAAATGGTCACACTAAGGGAAAAAAGCCAAACTTAAAGGCTACCTTTTATGAGATTCAACACAAGGCAAAATAGCAGGGACAGAAAATAATCAGCAGTGGCCAGGAGCGAGGGGTGGGGGAAGGATTGACCTTCAAGGGGCAGGAGGGAATTTTTCTGTTCTTTTGTGTCCTGTGATTGTGGCAACATGACTGCATGCGTGTCTCACAATCTGAATAGCATATACCAAAAAGGGTGCATTTTACTGTATGTAAATTATGTCTCAGTGGGAGAAAAAAAAAGAAGTTAAAAAAACAAAGAAATGAACTTGGGGACAGGAGCCATGGATTTTTGGTATTATCCTTTTATTTGAGGGCCAGTTCCAGTTTGGTCACTCATTTGTTTCTTCATTTCTTTAACAAGTATATATTGAGCACCTCTACTGTATGCTAGGCATTGCGGGTTCAACGTGCTTGTCCTCATGGAGTTCCTTGAAATGAGATAAAACCAAATGCAAGCTGATTTCTTGCTTTTCCTTGAGTAATGCAGAGGCCACACTTGCCAAAGTCAGGAGCAGCATGGGAGGGTACAAGTTCTGCGGCCGCCCTTGAAGCTGTTCCCCAGTCTTGGAGTGTTTCCAGGAGGGCTTTACTACCAATGGGCAGAGAGACCACAGTCCCTGGGGAGGTGGAGAACACATTCTGACGTGAGGAGGAGCTGTAAAGGGAGGGGGGCAGTGCCAATCTAGGGGCACTGGATGCTCAAGGCAAAATACATGAGTGATTCTAACATTTTGGTACTCTAAGGGCAAATACAAATTAAAAGATAAGAAGTTTTATTTTCTCTGCTGAAAATGAGGGCGGAGGCCTTCTCCCCTCTCTTTTATTCAAGAAAACTTGTAAGTTCTGTCTTTGAAAGGCAAGGAAATCTTGGTAAAGGTTGAATCAGCAGCCCAGGAATGTTTCCTCCAGGATCTGGGAGCTATCTCTTGGAAATGTAACCATCAATTAAGAAAGTGCCTGACCTCCCAGTCCCCCCACCTCCACCTTGGGGAATAGCTGCAGAAATTCAGCCGGAAACTGACTCCAGATCGCAAGCCTACTTCCAGCTAAAAAGAGGAAATGTTTTCTTTTACGAACAATCAGCAAATACGTTACCAGATGCATTTAGGATGAATTACGTGTGGCAAGTGGGACAGTCAAATCTTATTTGAGGACTAGTCACTGTTTGTCTTGAGAAAATGTATACAATGAGTTGTATCTGCTTGGTTATATAAAAAGGCAAGATTCCACTCAATCACTTGTGGCTCACTGCACATTCTGGTTCAATGCTTATTGAATAATAAAACTGTTTTCTTTTTATTCTACTTTTACGGAAAGATTTTTCTGGGATGGCCAGAGATTTTGTTTTTTATTATATTTCTCCAAAGTTACCTCCGTTCAATGTTTTCATTAATCCTTCAGGTAATTAACTCTAGGAAAAATAGGGCGGCAGATTTTCTTACCTGTGGAATACATAAAGTTCAGGAAACCCTTTCCTCAGCCAATTAGGTGAAGCAGTGAAGAAAGAAAGAAAATTCTTAACAAAGCATATATTTAAAATTAGGGGTGTCCACTGAATACAGGTCTAAGAAATCCAGGGCTGCACTAATCTGTTTCTCCCATTCTCCTCTGACAAAACCACTTTCTTTTCCAGGCTGGCCAACTACAGTACATTTTAGGGAACGTCTCCAAGTTATCCAAAGCCTTCTTTTCTGTGTGTCAGAAATCTGTGGTAACAGTCAATGGTCTGCCATTTTGTGTTTGAAGAAAGTAGTTGTGTGTGTGTGTGTGTGTGTGTGTGTGTGTGTGTTAGAGAGGGAGAGAGAGAAAATGAATTAGTCTTGACAAATTGTTATAACTTATAACTAACCTTTCTCTTTCCCATTACCTTCAGGAAAAATTGGGGGAAAAAATTCAATCTGAAAGTCCCTCTCCTCAATGGCTTTTTTTTTTTTTAAGATTTTATTTATTTATTTGACATAGCGAGAGATCACAAGTAGGCAAAGAGGCAGGCAGAGGGGGGCAGGGAGCAGGTTCCCGCTGAGCAGAGAGCCCGATGTGGGGCTTGATCCCAGGACCCCGAGATCATGACCTGAGCCGAAGGCAGAGGCTTAATCCACTGAGCCACCCAGGCGCCCCTCCTCAATGGCTTCTGTACCTTTCACACAGCCTATGGGTCAGCAGAAGGGAACCATAATTTCTTCGAATCGTGGGGAAAACAAAATGGTCAAGGACATTTAGCCAGTGAGTGGGACTATTGCTGACTCCTCATCTGTATGAATTAAGATATTCCAGACTCTGGATGGAATAGTTTGTGCAAACAGTCTGGACACTGCCCCATGGGTGGCTTAATTAGTTCCAATGTTGAGCAAAGCCAAAGGGTCAATGCCACAGGGGTGAAGGTTAGAAATCAATTTACCATTGCTGGGGATAGATCACTCCTTGACCTTCAAATGTCACCTTTCCTCAGGCCACTAGATGGAGAAGCTGAGCTGAGCAGAAGTGTTAGCTCCCCATCATGAAAATTTCCTATGATTGTGTGAGGTAGCTGGGAAGAGCAGGAATGGATAATACACACGTTTATTGCTGTGCAAATGACTCTGGACTCAATAATCTACCTCCACTTCACAAATGGAAGTAGAGCAGCACACATCTCCACAAAAAGAAGCCAAAATAACAAATCTTTGAATCAGACCGTCCTTTTTATCCTTAGTGCTGACCCCAGTGCCTAATACATGAGAAACTATAGGAATTGAAGTGGAAATAGAAGCCTGGATCTTTGTAAATAGATGATGGTGAAATCAGTGGAAGGTTGAGTTGAAATCTTCAAATTTACTTTCCTTTTGGCATTACTGCAGAGAATTGATGACGAATGTAAAGACTGTTTTGCTGTATCTCAAGGTCATAGGCTAATATCAAAATAACTATTTGTTGAGAGCTTCCTATATAACCCAAGCACCGTTTAAATGTTTTAGATATAATTTTTCATTTGTTTATGC